CTATTCCCATTTGGATCCAGCTGTTTGGGTTGCCTCTACACTATTGGACCAAGCAAGGACTTAGCTACATCTCTGGCTTCATTGGAGCTCTTCTCTTTGCTAATCCCATCACAGAAAAGAAGCAAAAAACCAGATTTGCTAAGGTTTGTGTCGAGATTGATGCATTTTCAGACCTACCCTCTTTACTTAAAGTACACCAGAGCTCGGGGAAGGTTACCAATGTCATTGTTGATTATCTTAACAAACCAGTGACTTATTACAACTGCAAGTACTTTGGTCACTCAACCAAAACCTGTTACTCCTCATCCCTCCCAACTAAAAACCTTTAGCCTTCAACTGAATGGAAGGTTGTTCCTCTCAAGAAGCATACCACACCTGTTCATCCACATACTTCCAATGTGGATAACATCCCTTTCACACAACAAACTTCCTCATCCCACACTACCATTGCCTTACAACCAAGTCAAAACATCATCACACACTATTTCAAACCTACTGAGGCTTTCAAAGTTGACTTGAGCTCTTACAACCCCATAAACTTAACCCCTGATTATGTTCCAAGCTCCATCATTGGAAATGATGTATCCCCTCCAACATTCACAGTGCTTGAGAAGCTACCACCACCTATAAAGGATGACTGCACAAGCTTGTCAGAAACTGAATCAACCAACAGCATGCCTGCAACTTTGGGTAAAGGCAAAACCAAGAAAGACAACTCCAACAAGAGGAAGCAATCAAGGAAAATCATTCACCTCAGGGGGAATTTATTCCCAAAAGGGAGAGCTTCAAAGCCAATCAAATGGTAGTAATTGCCATATGGAATATCAGGGGCTTAAATAGCACCCTGAAGCAAGATGAAGTTAAGCTTCTATTATTTGAGAATACAGCAGATATTGCTGCAATTGTTGAGACAAAAGTTCAACACTGTAATTCAAGTAGAATTCACAATGTGATTGCAAGGAATTGGAGGCTTGCACACAATTATTGCCACTCACCACTGGGAAGGATATGGATCATATGGAATCTTGGAGCAATTGACCTGCAAATTCTTCAATGTTTAAGACAATCTATCCATTGTCATGCCATTATCCTAAGATGCAGATCCACTTTCTACATCACCTTTATTTATGCTGCTAATGAAGCCACAGAGAGGGAATTGTTATGGAATGACATTGTTCAACAAGCTTCTACAATTTCCTTAGCCCCTTGGATCCTTGGAAAGGATTTCAACATTATTAAATCTCCAATGGAAGATCATGGTGGCAATGGTAAGACCTCCAAACCTATTATGGACTTCAGGAAATGCCTTCACACTGCAAATCTTGAGGATCTCAACTTCTCAGGGGTGCTTCATTCTTGGTCAAATAGAAGCCTTGGGATCATAAACATTGCAAGGAAATTGGATAGAGTACTTATCAATGATACTTGGAACCACTTATTCCCCTTATCTCACTGCAGTTTCCTTCCCCCAGGCATCTCGGATCATAGTCCAATGATTATTAACCTTGGTAATCCAAAACCACAGGGAAAAATTCCATTCAGATACTTCAATAGTTAGAGTGATCATGATGATTTCTTAACCTTGGTGCAATCCCATTAGAACACTCACATTGCAGGCCATATTATGTTTCAAGTGGTTTCCAAACTGAAGACCCTCAAGCAGCCTTTGAAATCCAAGTTTGGAAAGCCTCTAAGCACCCTTCATGATGAAATTCAGTTTGCTAAAGCTTCTCTCTCTTCATGTCAACTGGCTCTTGACTCAGCACCTGACAACCTGGCATTGAGGACATAAGAAAAACACCTCCTCCACTCCTTCACATCACTCATGCTCATTGAGGAGAAGAACTGCAGGCAAAAATTAAGAATCTAGTGGCTCAATTGTGGTGACTCAAACACTTCCTATTTCTACAAATCTGTTGCATCCAAAAGCAACAAAAACAAAATTGCATCCATTACTTCTTCAGATGGTTCTCTTCTTGACACAGAAGCAGCCATTAAGAATGAAATTGTCTCCTACTTTTATCATTGCCTTGGGATGAATCCCCATCCACCTCAAGACTTAGAGCAGCTGTAAGCTTTCATTCAGCCTATTGTACCTGTTTCCTTTACTAAATCATTGTGGTCAATCCCTACTGACACTGAAATTAAGTTATGCTTGTTCTCCCTTAGCAGTGACAAGGCTCCAGGACCTGATGGTTATAATACGCATTTCTTCAAGAAGGCTTGGTCAGTTATTTGTCAGGATGTTACAAGGGCAGTCAGAAAATTTTTCACAACTGGGAAGCTACTTAGAGAGGTTAACTCCACCTATATTTCCATTGTTCCAAAAGTGCCTAACCCTTCCATTATCAGTGAGTTCAGGCCAATATCATATTGCTCTACTATTTACAAATGCATCTCAAAGCTTTTTGCTATCAAGCTTAAACCAACACTATCCTCAACCATAGATCAAGCACAATCAGCCTTTATTCAAGGTAGGCAAATTAATGATAACATCTTACTTGCTCAGGAGCTCTTAAATGGATACCACATCCACAACAATTCTCCCAGATGCTCACTCAAGATTGACCTCAAGAAAGCATTTGACTCAGTGTCATGGGATTTTCTTATTAAATCTATGAAATTGATGGGTTATCCAGAGATTTTTGTCAATTGGATCCAAACCTATGTCACCACTCCATCATTCACTATATCCATTAATGGTGAATTCAATAGTTTTTTTAACAGTGTCAAGGGGTTGAGACAAGGTGACCCCTTGTCACCCTTTTTGTTTGTTCTTGTGATGCAGGTCTTCTCACTGATTCTGAACAAGTTCATAGTTGAAATGCCATATAAATTCCATTGGAGATGTAAAAATTAAGCTGAAGCTCACTCGCCTGATATTTGCAAATAACCTTATGCTCTTCTCTCATGCTAGCATTCCATCCATTCAAACCCTAAAACATGCTCTTGATACATTCACTACTCTCTTAGGGGTCCACATCAACCTTTCTAAGAGTCAATGTTTCTTCACTGGGATTTCTAATCAGTTAGAGGCTAACATACTGTCACTCCTTATGTTTGAGAAAGGGCTGCTTCATGTGAGATACCTTGGTTTTCCCTTGATTACAACTATGCTAAGAGCAAGTGATTGCAGAGCCCTAATTAACAAAATCACTCTTATGATTACTCACTGGTCTAGCAAAAACCTCTCATTTGCTGGAAGATTGCAGCTCATCAAAGCTGTATTGTTCTTAACTCAAATTATTGGAGCTCTAAATTCATCCTTCCAATGGCCATTATTCATAAAATGGATTGTTTATTTAGATCATTCCTTTGGTCTGGACCCTCCCTCAAGAAAACAAGCTGCAAAGTTGCTTGGGAGCAGTGTTGTCTTCCCAAGAAGGTTGGAGGGCTTGCCATCCCTAATCTTGCAATGTGGAATGAGGTTGCAGTTATGAAGCATTTCTTGCACATCATTAGCTCCAAGCAAATGTTATGGGTCAAATGGATTGATCACTACTTGCTCAAAGGTAGGAGTATTTGGGAAATCAACACCCCTGGACAATGCTCTTGGAGCTGAAGAAGACTTCTTAGCTTAAGATCATCTATCAAGCCTCTTGTCAAGCTTGAAATTGGTAATGAAACTTCCACCAATTTTTGGTTTGACAATTGGTGGAGTCTAGGTCCACTCCACCTCCTCCTCACCCCACAACAAATAACTGACACTGACGTTGGCACCAAAACTAAACTGAGCTCATTCATCATTAACTCTACCTGGATGTTCCCACCTGCTATTATAAACCTATTTCCAAATTTGTTACAAGCCAACAACACCCTCTTGCCATATCCATAGAATTGTGACAAAGTGAAAAGGATTCCATCACCAAATGGAAAGTTCTCAATTGCCCATACACTCAACCATTTCAACAAACATTTTCCAAGCATCCCATGGACTCACCTAGTATGGTCTAACAATTCCATCCCAAAGCACTCATTTACACTATGGGTTGCTATTCAAAGGAGACTGCTTACACTAAATAGAAGGTGCACATCACACATCAATGCCACTACTTGTACCTTATGTACCTCTTCCCAATTAGAAACCCATAACCACCTATTCTTCAACTGTAACTTCACAAGACCATTGTGGTTATTCATTCAAGCAAAATGTGGTTTCTTTATTAATCCATCATCATGACATAATCTTATTCTCTGGGCATCTCATCACTGGAAATCCAACTTTGGTGTCCATTACAGTTCAATTGCAAAACTTGCTCTGGCCTCTCTTGTGTATAACATCTGGATGGAGTGCAATCGTAGGGTGTTTAAGAAGTCATCGTTATCCCAAAATGCCCTGCTTCAACAAACTATTGACTTGATCAGGCTGAAGCTCATGTCCTCAAAATTCGTAGACTCTCCAGCCTTTAGGCGTATAATTGAAGATTGGGAACTTTCTGCTTCTGTTATTCGACCACCTACAAAACCTTCAGACAACTACTAACCATGGAGGAGGAAATCTCCCCCTTGCCACTGCTCAGTGTCGCATCCTGCTTCGAATAAATGGCATTCTGTTGCTCCTTAGGGGCTTGAGCAACATTTGGGCTAATTGTTTTATAATTTGGTTGCTTGGGACTATCATTATTTGGGCCTTGTATCTAGGTTTTGTTTGTTTAGTTAGCCTGGGCTAACTATGTTTGTATCTTTGGTTTTATTCACTATAATCTTATTTACCTTTCAAAAAAAAAAAAAGAGTCTCTTTTGGGGAGTGAACCTTTTTAAGTAATTAATTCATTGTTCCTTTTTTAAATGACTAAATTATCATTTCAAGTTTGAATGAATATGGATTATAAGTTGAAAGTTTTTGAAAATTTAAAGGATATATATAGAAAGATACATTTATCTTGTTTTGACTTTTCAAGATAATTATTTTGGGACAACCAAAATCTAAAAGGTGAATAATTAAATTAAGAATTTTCCATAAAAAGTATCTACGTTTCCATTTTAAACTGTATATTCCAAAATAATTGAACCAATTAAAATGTCAATCTATTACTTTTTGTAATATTACCACTCTAACCTTCTTGAATGGCACTATTATAGATTCACTTAGGATAAATTTAATAATTCATTCTTTACCAATATAATAAAAATAAAAATAAAAATAAATAAATAAATCATGGACAAGTTAATTCCAAGGTACATTTATTGTGGGAGGGAGGGACTATATCTTGTAACGTGTCATACATTGGTCTTAGTGTGTGTGTGTGTGTGTGTGTGTGGGAGAGAGAGAGAGAGAGAGGAGGAGGACGAGGAGGAGGATGGTGAATTGTATGACATAGATTCTGAGCTAAGAAAGACAATAAGAAAACACTTGGTCTCCTGTTCTGGCATTTCAATTTTCTTCAATATTCTATACATAAAGGTTCATCTTTTTCCCATTCCCCTTTTTGAAATCCGGTGACCGTTCCATGTCTTTCCTTCTCCAGCTATTATAGTCTCTCTCTCTCTCGCTCTCTCTCTCTCTCTCTCTCTCTCTCTCTCTCTCTCTCTCATACATGATACATGTATATATATAATACTCCTATATAATCATCAGCAAGTGACAATAAAGAGAAACCAAACCCAATTAGCCTCACAACACAGAAAACATGGGAAGAGCTCCTTGCTGTGACAAAGCCAATGTCAAGAGAGGCCCATGGTCACCAGAGGAAGATGCCAAACTCAAGACTTACATCGAACAGCACGGCACTGGTGGCAACTGGATAGCCTTACCACAGAAAATAGGTACTTCAATCTCACACACACACACACGTAAACCTTCAATTATTCTCTAAAAAATTTGTTTAAGTCTCTGAATTTAAAAAGAATTTTGTGCGTGCATGGTTTTAGGCCTCAAGAGATGCGGGAAGAGTTGTCGCCTTAGATGGTTGAATTATCTTCGTCCAAACATCAAGCATGGAGGGTTCTCAGAGGAAGAAGATAACATAATTTGCAACTTATATATAAGTATTGGAAGCAGGTAAATATCTATATATATATACACACACACACACAAGCTTCCTTCAATTATTTACACTTTCTTAGTTGGGTTACTTCTCTTTTTATGATAGGGTACTTATTTTAATGATACTTCTATGGTTGAACAAGATTTATTAATCAAATATTCATTTTTGATTATTGCAAAGGTGGTCTATTATCGCGGCGCAATTACCAGGAAGAACTGATAATGATATCAAGAATTATTGGAACACAAGGCTGAAGAAAAAGCTTCTAGGCAAACAAAGAAAGGAACAACAGGCTAGGAGATCAAGTTGCTTCAAGCAAGAGATGAAGAGAGAGAGTGACACTTTCATGGCTTCTGAGGCCATGAATCAAGTCCTTTTTTGGCCACAGCTACCTCATGTTGCCATACCAATAGCTAATCAACACCAAATAGATCAGCCTCATCCTAGTCATGACCAAGCATCTATTAAGAAATTATTTGGCAGAAGATTTTCCGATGATCAACACCACAACAACAACAACATCGCCAATTTTCAATCTTCTTTTGATGTTTCTTCCACCCAAGAACAACTATATGAGAATTCAATCAATATGCTTGCACCCTTTATGTCCATGAATTCCATGGAAAGTACTCCTACTTGTTCCCAACTGCCAAACACTCCCTATGTCATTGATGGGGCTGGTCCAAGCATGTTTCAAGGACTTAACAACTTCCCGATTGAGCTAGATGAAAATATAGCGTATAGCAACGCGCAACCATTAGACGTGTTGGAGAGCTTCTCTGGAGTGGACATGACCAACAATGGCAGCACCGGCACCAATAGTACTGCAGAAAACACCAGTTGGGGAGATATAAGCTCTTTGGTGCAGTACCCTCCTATGGTTTCCAATTTCCAAGCTTGTCAACAAGGGATGCTACAAGATTGCGGATTTGAAGAGTCAAGGTACTTTGGGTTGCAATAACATCTATATATGTAGATGGTGGTTCAAAATTTGATATAAGCAAGAGTTTTTTATTTTATTTTTTATTCAGTAGTACTGTTATCTTATAAACTATATATTGAGTTTAAAGATTTGTTTGTTATGCACTATAATTCCATTCTGCTTAGAGTTTCTCACGCGATTATAGAGAGTTTTTACTGGTTAGCTACGCGAGCTTTTGGCGATTCACGTGTGATAAGAATGCTCTTTTTCCATGGCTAGTGTCGATGAGTTATACCAACTCTAGCTCCTAGTGAAGCATTTTTTGGATCCATATGTTTTAATTCTATGACTTGTCAAATGGATATCAATAATGCTTGAAGAACATTGTACTATTTGTTAATCACAAACACAGAAGGTACAGATATCTCACTCCATAAAAACACATGGGTATGGTGTTTTATCACATAGTTCACTCAAAGTCCATGAAAAGGTAGTAGTAAAGTTGGAAAGGTGTTTTGAAGTTTTGGCCACAACTTACCAGGCTCTTTCTTTGTAGGGTATCAGAAAGTGGCTGCATTCCTTTATTGTTATCCTAATGTCTGCAATTACAATAGCAAAGAGCTGTGAAAGCACATAGCTCCTTCTCATGTACTTCCAATTAGAATATAGATTAATTGTGCTGCTGATGACTCATATTTCATGTATCCAACTAGTTCAACAGTTGCCCAATTTGAATTTTCTGGTAGCTGAGAACATGATGTACTAAGTACCTCATCTCAATCAAATTGAAGAATCTGTTGAGAAAATCAAATAATTTTTGCTTCATTTTTAGGTAGCTATATGATTGAAGCTGGTATGTGTTGCTCATAATATTGTTGGATTTGTGGATCAGAATTTGGGAATTAGTTTCATTTTCCTTTTGGGCCTTTCAAAGGGCCATAGAAATTGTTTGTTATTGTGATGTTTTTATTTTAGAGTTTTAATTGATATGATAACTCCGTATAGACAGATTGTGAAATTCTTGTCTAACAAGGAATTGGTAATTGTAAACTCTATAAATAGAGATGTGTTTGGGTAGAGGGAGATAGAGAGAGAGAGAAGATGCAAGCTGGGGTTTAAGGGTGAGTGTTGTGAGGAGAGGAAAAAGTACATGTAATTCTCGAGTGTAAAGATGCAGCCCCAACAGTGCGATGAGTGAGAGTGAGTTGGGTTTTGACATCTAGTTGTATATTTTCTTCCTTGATTCATAATAATGAATATTTCTCTCTCCGTAGACGTAGTCTTAGAGTTGGATGAATCATGAAAAATATTAAGTTGTGCGAAAATCCGTATAATTATTATCTTCATATAGGCTTGTGTGATTGATGTAATAATTATTATATTCGTAACCCTTTTTCAAGGGTATGATATCGTTGCACACCTCCATGAATTGGTCGGTTCGGCTGGTTTATACCAATATTTGCCCGAGTTAGTTACACCGCGACCGCAACCAATACTGCGCTGCAACCGATATCGCGACTATGAACCATGGATACTAGTACTGAGGCTCAAATTTGCACCAGTAAAGTAACTGATGCTCAAGCGTTAAACCAGCTAACGATTCCTTAATATGATAGCAATTATACTCTGCAAAAATTGTATCAAAGGAGAGAGAGATATATATATATACATATACATATATATATTAGTTTATCCTTCTCCCAATGCCCATATTGATGGGAACATAGCATGTTTGGTTCAGTTTTTAAAAGGCTGTTCTCAAGAATTTAAGAACAGAAAATTATTTTCAGATATCTACCAAAGTCATTTATGTCAAAGCATGCCCTTTTTAACTGAGTTCTAGAGAAATTGTCAAACAAACATATTTTTGTATAGTTTTTGAATTTTCAATTATAAGAAAATAGAAAACTTTTCTTAAAAACCTGAAACAAACATACCCTTAAATTCCTTTTAGTCACCCCATTGATGTTTTTTTTTATTTGGACAACACTTTGTGCATTAATGATGGGAAAGGATATTGGATTGCTATTTCACAGACTACTCATATTAGAATTCAGTGTGTGTGTGTGTGTATATATATTGAAAGGTATTTCTTAGAATTTAGTGTGCCATGCAAATGCATGGTCTCAGTTCTATGCCGTGAAATAGCACTGCAAGCATAAGTAGATTATCCAGTGTATGTCCTATTTATGTGGAGGTGTTGATGAGAAAAGAAGAAAGAAAAAAAAAAAACCCTTGCTAACCTTTTTATTACTTTAATTATACTAATTTAAGTGGCATAGGCTATCAAATTTCTGTCTCCTGCGTGATTACATTTTTTCAGACAACTTTTTGGAAGCTTGGCCAGCATTATGAGACAAGACACAACTTAATCTGGAAAATGGATGAATGGCCCCCAATTATATATATAGTACAAGTGAATTTCAGATAATTTATTAATTGCCATACCAACCTTTATTGTGATGCTATTTTAGTTTTTTTTTTCCCCTCTAAAAATGGATGAGTGAAATGAGATCTTCTTCTTTTTCATTATTTATTTATTTATTTATATATGTACATTATGAAGGCTCAATGAAATAGCTTCAATTAATGTTGTTTAATGGTTATTGTCATTCTCAATCTTTTTTGGGTAAGGTAATGAATTTGTAAAAAAAAAAAAAAAAAAAAAAAAAAAAAAAAATCTGTTTCGAACTGTTTTACCCTCCTAACCAACTCAATTAAGAAAAAAGTTTCTAAATCTTTAACAAGAACTTGATTCGTATGAATGACTCCCAACATTTTTTGTGACCAAATAACACTTTATTCTATCAACAAATTTGTGTGCCTTGTAAGTCTCTAATAGGCTTCTTGTCATGCCAAGTCCTAAACTTTTTTCCTTTTCCTGAACTCAAATACTTAGAATATTGCTATTTTTATAAATAGTTAATGCATTGAAACAGTAGTGGAGTTTGAATTTTATCCTCACTAATTAATTAATAACATTTTTGAGCAATCATTGATCTCATAATGTCAATTAGCAATAATTTATTGAAAGATTAAAAAAACATAGTAAAACAAAGCATGCTGCATTCACAAGATATATAAATATATATTCAGTAACAAGGACAAGAATTTTATATAAGCCCTTGAGCAATAGTTAAGAGTTTAATATTAATATGTATTAACTTTAGAATTTTTTAAAACCATAATTAATTTCAAAATCAACTATGTAAGAGTTGTTTGTATGTGTCAATACCTGCACAATCCCATCGTCCGTGTGTGTGTGTGTGTGTGTGAGAGAGAGAGAGAGAGAGAGAGAGAGAGAGAGAGAGGTCTATCATGTTTATGCTCTTAAGTCAAAAGGAGATACAAGAGGAGGGAGCACAAAGGAAAAGAAGATTGACTTGGTCTTAATTAAGCTGCCGCAGTGGAATGAGCATGTGCTCTGTCAACAGAGCTAAAATTAAAACTTTAATAGTCTCCTAAATATTAAAAAATATATTTAAAAAAAAAAAAAAAAAAACCTAATCTCAATTAAAAACTATTTCTGTAGTTTTCTAAAAATGATCTCTCTTTTAGAGTTAAAAAAAAAAAATGTAAAGAACTCAACTAATTTAACAGTCCTGGTCGTTATATTAACGTGGTATACCCTGTGAACATTTGGCTGCAAGGTAAATTTTGAGTGTGCATAAAAGTCCTCAATTCAAGCATATATACTAATTTTAATCAGATCTCTTAATTTCAACGTCAAGATCGCTAGGTATTTTTGCCAAAATCGGCTCTAGGGATAGCTTCGTTTTCGTCTAAAGAAAATTATTTAATACTAAAAATAACAATAAGGTAAATAAGAGAGTAGAAAGTATCATTTTCTTCAAAAGGACATGATAAAAAAGGTTCTTTGATTACATTTGATACGGATACCTAACCCTTATACAAGTACTTTGCTAAGTCAACAGAATGCTGTTTATATGCTTAGTGTTGTTGATTCCATATATGTTTATGATTTTACAGGTGATTGGCTTTTTCATCACCAATATTTGATCTTTTGATCTCATTACTGAGTAAATGTCCAAACAACAATGTCATGAGAATTCCCTTTCAGTTAGGTGCCAAAGTGGTTAGAAAAAGTAAAGATGCCTTCACAAGGCACAGCCTCATGAATTCATCAAATATATTACTTGCTCTCTCATTATTTCCTTGACCCTGTTAAATGAAGAGGTCATATTGGTACCTTCATGGATGTCATCAATAGAACTATTCTGTTGGCCACATATATTATTGATGATTTGTGAGCTAATGTTATAATATCTCACATATGGGAAGGAAGGGGTCGAATTCGAGCGTTACCAAAAGGGTGCAAGTGTGTTTGTTTTACCGTTCAAAAATAATAATAATAATAATAATAATAATAATAATAATAATAATAAAGTCATTGAAATTTTGCATTTGAATTAGTTTGGAGAATCTAAATGAAATGATAAACTTTTTTTAGACTACCCTTCTCATATTGACGGAGCTAATTTCTTTCTTTTCTTTGGATGGAAGTGCAAGAATAGAATGCAGTGTATTATATATATTTATAGGGTTAGGAGCAGAAAACCCCCCTATAATATAGATTATGTGCACAATGAATCCCTCTAACCACTTTTTGACAAAAAAATATATCTGAAAATCCGATTTTACCTTTTTTGTTCCTTTGTTGCCCCTCACAGAATGTTTCCCTTTTTTAATTTACAAAAGGTTATATGCATAACCCTCCTATTTATTCAAGTTTGAGACCAACTATGCAAAAAAACAAAAAGACCTTAAATAATTTGCATTTTGTTGCTTCCTGAGATTTGGTAGGCATATTAAATCAAGTTAATGGTTATATTTATGTTAGCTTTTGTTGATTTTTCAAGGGTAAATTATATATAATTTAATTATTTCTTTTATCAAGTGGAATTAGATTAATCTTAAATTGCATAAAAAACATCTTCTCATTCTCTTCGCTCATCAAAGAATTAAGCTGTTGTACAAAGCTAAATATTCACATTGGAAATTCATAGTTAAAAATCACATGTGACCACAAAGTACATGTTTCTTTTAATTAAATTGTCTTAATTTATGTTTAAATAATACCTTATAACTATTTCCTAATCACGTTAACAATATTAAAAGTCTTAATCCAAAATTAGCAAATAAGGTTTTGTAACTTGATGGCATCTTTAATACTAATTCAGTAGATAGCATAAGTTGTTAGAATGTATATGTAGGGTG